GTGGACACCCCATCTCCACGTGGAGGTCCCTGGCAGGGTGAAGCTGGAGGGCTCACCCTTTCCAGTCCATCAGCCGGGGCAGAGGCCTTCTAGGCCGCATGGAAGACAGCGTGTGGACCAGAGGGCCTGGATGGAGGTGGAGGGCCGCTGGTGGTGTGGCGGTGCCGGGCTGCGGCAGGGCGACGGGGTCCCCCACCCTCCTGGCACAGGCGTCTGGTGTGGACGTCCCTATTTGTGGCACAAGTGAGTGTACATGTCTCCAGTGTACACATGGACAGAGTGGCCGTTGGGCTGGGTTCTAGGTCCCACTGGGAGGTGGGGGATGAGCGCTGGAGTGCTGTCCGAGCCCCTGACTTGGCGGGCTGGAGCAGAGCTGTCCCATCTGCTTGTGTACCATGATCCTCGGAGGTTTGTATCCTCCTGTGGGGAGATGTGAAGGGGAATGATGTGGCCCTGCCCTCTGGGGGCCCAGACTGGTGGGTGGTCCCAGGTGGACCTGGCCTCTGGGACTGGCCCAGAGAGAGGGGCTGGAAGTGGAGGCGGGGCGGCTGGACAAGGGGAGGTTCATGCAGGGGGGGTGAGAGGGGGCAGGGCAGCCAGATGGAGGGTCCAGCAGGACAAAGGCCTGGCGGCAGGTGTGTGAGTCGCAGCACCTGGCAGGGGCCGCAGCAGGTGCAGCGAGCAGCAGGAGAGGCGGAGGGCTGGGGGACTGGGGGGCTAGGGAGGGCTCTGGGGGCTGGCCGAGAAACTCAGCTGAGCTGGACTGCACAATGGGCCGTCGGGAGGGGCCTCGATCTGGGGGTGGGTGGGCTGGTGGGCAGCTGGAAGGCAGTGGTGGGAACCAGTGGGGACATGTGGATGGGGGGATGCCCGGGCAGGGGGTGGTGAGGTTATGGGGCAGCGGTCTGGGTGGCAGGGGGTAGAGGCCCCTCCTACAGCTAGGAATTGCCCTGATTGCTCCCCTGGCGGAGGAGGAGGCATAAGCATGGACTTCTTGGTGGCCTCCCTCTGCCCCCAGGGGTTACAGTCCTGGGGGCTGGGCTGGCCTGAGATACCCCCACCCCCCATCCAGGGTTGGGGAGAGGACTTTGCCCCTCCCAATGTCACCATAACTGGGACAGCATCCTGGAGGGGGAGGGACAAGTGACCCTGGCCGTGGGAGGCAGGACCAGCCCCTCCCCCACTGGGGGGTTCCTGCTTCCTTAGTGCTTTTGCTGATTGGGAGCCCAGGCCAGGCTGGGCTGGGCTGACCTGCCTATTGCCTGGCCTTCTCCCTGCTTCCTTGTGGAGGCACTGGGGACAACAGGATGAACTGAGCATCTAGCTCAGAGGGAGTCTGGGCAAAGCTGGGCCGGAGAGACCCTGAGGCCCCCTGAGTGGGCTGGGGAGGGTACTGGGGGCTACTTAGGTGGGAGGCAGGTTGCAGAGGGCTGGGCTGTTCCTGTGTGTGTGTGTGTGGGGTACAATGAGCCCTGGGCCCCACCCACGGCCCCCAGCAAGGGAAGGGCCCTAGGATCCCCTTCCCAGACCACAGCAGGCAGGGGGAGAGGCCAGAGACGTGGGAAGCCCCCAGCTGTCCTCCTGTCCCCGCCCACCCTGCCAGCTGCAGGGCCTGGGCCTTGGTGCCTGGACTCCCCTCCCCGCTGGCTCTGTGCCCGCCCGTCCTGCCCACTCCAGCTCTGGCCGCCTGCGGTTACAGGGCCCTGGGGACTGTCCTGCCCGCTGCGGGCCCCAGAGCCTGGCCCAGCGCGGGAGGGGGGCCCTCCTGGCCGCTTCCCGGGAGCAGGGTGCCCGGCGCGACCTCAGACCCGCGTGCCAGCCCCTCCCCGACTGCCGGAGCCGCCCTGGGAGGCGGGACCGCGGCGGGATCTTTCCGGGGCTCCCTCGCCTGCGCCCCCTCCCCGCCCCCGCACGATTTACGGGCGGCGGGCGGGCCCAGGGCCTTTGACGCGGGCGGGCGGCGGGGATAAAGCGGGCCGGGGCGCGGCCGCCGCGGGCCTCCAGGACTCGGGTCGGTGAGTGTCCGCGGGCTCCGGCGGCCCTGGGGTGGGGGCCGGGGTGCGGGGGTGGGGCCCCCGGGGAGACCCCAAAGTGGGCGGGGCCCGGGTCCCCAGGCTTCCGGCTCCTGCCCGCAGCTCAGCTGGAGCCTCAGTGGTTTCCTCTGGCGAATGGAGCCAGGGGGCCGCCCTGGCGATGGAGCCTTTCCTTCCAGAGCACAAACTGACCGTGTGGGAACCTACAGTCTCCTCCCAGGCTCCTTGATATTGCCGTGTGCCCGGAGCCTCCCCGTGGGGGTACCCCGGCCTCAGTGGTACAGAAGGAGGGAGACCGACGGCTGGCTCCCTGGTCACATGGTCCTTTCTCCGCCGGCTGCACCGTCCGGAGGCGGGACGGGGTCACAGTGCAGAGTGGGGCCTTGGCGGGCAGTGGGGTCCAGCCTGGTTCTGCCCCTCGGTGCCCGTGTCCTCTCTTGTTAACGAGGGTCACAGCGCAGTGGTGGCATGATGGATCGTTTATCGTCCCGTCGAGGAGTGAAGGCAGGCTCTTGAGTCGTCTCTCCAGGACAGCTGGTGTGAACGGAGGTGTCCCGGTCACCATTGGTGACCGTCAGCACGTGCCCTTGGAGGTGCTGGGGGGCTGGAACTGCCACACGGGCGATCTGTGGTTGGTCTGGCCATTAATTGAGATGCTGATTTAGGCCACACTCTCTCTGGAGTGTAGACTGACATCCTTCTTTGATCCTGTGGGGATCACCTGTGGGGTCGTGTCAGCCTGTGGGGTGGTGTCAAACCACTTGGTACAAAACAAATCAGTGGAGTTTCAGGGACACACAACCCCTCCCCACCCCCCACACCCCAGCTAATAAACAGAGGAGCTTAGATCTGTCTGGGTCCAGGCTCTGCCAGAAAGCAGGTTCTCAATAAGTGGTAACTGCCATTGTTACTATTTTATTAATTAAAATTAACTTTTAGTTAAAATTTTATTAATATTAATAACAACTGATATTTATTGTTCCTAATAGCAGCTGGGTCATCTGTTGTTATCTTGGGTTTTAACAATCCCCTGAGGGGTTTGGCAGTATCTATGGCTTTCTAGGTTGGTCATAATTGTGTACAAAGCAAGAGTCGCTGGGCTGAGTTGAGGCCCCGGGGGCCTCTCCTGGGGCTCCGTGGCTGATGGTGGCTGATATTGGTGGCTGGGCCTCCTGGCATCCACTTTGGCTGCTCTGCAGGCCTTGCCATGGGTATTAACACTCCCCAGGGCCTGGCTCTGAATGGATGAGGTTTGCATGATTCATTGGTAGAAGAGAAGAAGGAACCCTGGGCTTGGAGCCAGAAAGCCAGGTTTCGGGCAGCTCTGCTCCGCCTCTCTGTCTGGCCTCCGTGTAAAATGGGGCTCATGAACTTTGGCCTCTAGTGGGGTGTGAGTGTGTAGGAGTGGGGTGATGGAAACAGCGTGAGGGGGCTTCCTGAGCCGGCAAGCGGGAACAGACATTGGTGCGCACTGTTCTCGTGGGGCTCACAAAGAGTCTGATGCATTCCCCACTCGGGGGCGCACGCCGTGTTCGCCATGAGGCCAGAGGCCACCTCCTCACAGAGGCCTCCCGGATTAACCTCCCCCCCAAGTCATTTCCTTCTGCCGCAATCCATTGCCTGGTTGTTCTGTGTCCCCCCACCGACCCCCACCCCAGAGTCTGAGCTCTCTGAGGATGGGGTCATGGGGGTTCACTCACCCCTGCCCCTCAGCGCCCACCATGGGGCCTGGAGCCAGGAGGGTGCTGGGTAGGTACACAGAAGAAGGAGAACCCGGTGGGGGAAGCCCAGGCACTGAGGGCTTCCTGGAGGAGGAGGGGACCCTCAGCTGGTCTTGAGGGTGGGGACTGTCTGGGGGCATTCTGGGCAGAGAAAAAAGGGTGACTGCAGGCGGGAATCCTACAGCCCCTTCCCTTCTCCCCCTGGGCTAAGAGTAGGAGGGGCACAGGCCAGCGGGCCAGGCTGAAAAGTCAGAACTCTGTTTTGCAGGCTATAGGGAGCCACAGAGGGTGTGTGAGCAGCAGCAGAGTGGGGGCCACCATTCCTCTCCAGCCCCATGCCAAGTCTCACTGTGGGGGTGCACCAGGTGGGCCTCGACCCATGTCTAGTCTGGGGCTGGAGCTGGGACATGCGCTCATCAAACCTATATTGAACCGCCCTCCAAGATAGGAACACGTGTATCTCTTGATACCCATCTTGGTGGGTAGAGTCGGCCAGCTGGTCCGGCGGGGGCAGTGGAGAGAGAAGGGTTGGGTGGGGGCTGGAGACCCCCGAGATTTCCCTCCTCCAATGGGGGTGCAGGGAGGGCAGGTTGCCCCCAAATTTGGGTCTCAGGTAGGGTCCTGAGCTGCCTGGGGGTGTCAGGGTGGAAGGGGCATAGTGACAGGGGTGAAGGGCCTGGACAGGTGAGGCCTTGAGGGGAACAGGGGTCAAAGGCGCTGGGCCCTTGGCAGCTGGATGCCAAGGCCGGTGGACGCACTGAGATGGGAGGAGGGGCCGTGACCTGCTCCCTGGGCTGCGAGGGTCCCGCAGGTGGTGCAGATAGCTGGGCTCTGGCCGTACTCTGCACCAAGCCCTGTTCTGAGCACGTTCCGTGGCTGGATTCAGCCATTCCTGACAACGGCCCAGTGAGGCAGCTACTGTCGTTTTCCCTCTGTGCAGATGAGGAAACTGAGGCATGGAGAGTAACGGCCCAAGTTCCCCCGGTCAGTAAGGATTTCCTGAGGAGAGGGGGTTTGCACGGAGCTGAGGAAAGGCGGCGGTGGGAAGAGAGGGCGCCCGGGGGAGGGAAGTGCGTGGTCAAGGACTGGAGCGGGGAGGGCCCCACTGGGGCTGTGCGGGGGCAGCTCTGGGGCCTGGGGGTCAGGCTGCCCGAGGCAGGAGCCCGTGGAGGGAGGGGGCGGGGCCAGTGCAGGGCGAAGGCACTGGAACCCCCGTCTGCCAGCCTTGGTGGGGCTCAGGTGTGACCGAGTGACAGGTGGTGTTGGGAAAATGCCACGTTCTAACCCTCCATGTGACAGCCTGGGAAACTGAGGCACAGGATGGAGTAAAGTCTCTGCGAGGAACCCAAGGGGCTTGGCTCTGGGGATGAGGGACCCCTGACTCAGTGGTGCGGTCTGCCTGGGGGCAACCCCGCCCTTCTCCTGGGGCAGCCAAGATATTGTGATTACCAGGCCCACCCACGGTGGGCAGTCTGTGACGTGGCTTTTCAGGGCAGGGGTGGAGGGGCAGCCGTCAGCCTGGTCTGGGAGAGCAGGAGGGGTAGGGCAGGCTTTTTGCCTGTTCTGGTGATTTTTTCCCTTGCATCCTCCAAGCTTAGCCCAGTGCCTGCACTAGAAGATGCTCAATAAATATTTGTAAATTGGATGAATGAATGAATGAATGCCTAGTTCCCCTTTTCCCCTTGGGGGGGTCCTGAGTCTGTGGTGGGAGCAGGGGAGGCCACAGCGGGGACACAGGTGGCAGAACAGGCTCAGAGCCAGTGCTGAGCTCCGGGAGGGAGGGGCAGTGTCGGGGTGGGGACGTCCTGGTCAGTGATGGGTGAGTGGTGGGCTTTGGGCAGAGGCAGGCCGCCCCTGGATGCAGTCCCCCATGTGCTGGAACACCTGGATGTGCTGTGGCCAGCGTGTCACCATGTGATGTCACACATGGCCTGGCCAGCAGTGGACACACCTTCCAAGCCACGGCCTGCCCCCCATTGCTGCCCCCAGCTGTGAGCTCCCGGCAGGAAGGGCCGCAGGAAGGGCTGTGCAGGAAGGGCCATGTGGGGGGCTGGGGTGCCGGGGGCGTGGGAGGGAGGCTGCCGTCTCAGGCCCCCAGCCAGGGGAGGCGCCTTGCCCCTCGCCGCCGGGTGGGCTCGTGAGGTGGCCGAGGGGCGCCTGCAGGGCACTGGGGGCCCGGCTTCTCCTGCCGTGCCTCAGTTTCCTCATCTGAGCTGCCTGGGGGCCACGGAGGCCGTGTTTTCCAGCTGTCAGTGCCTACTGTCCCCTTTGTCCCTTCGACACCTCAGCAAGGCAGGGCTTGTACCTGTTACAGATGAGGAGCCAGGGCTCGAGGGGAAGTGGTCCCAGGCAGCACAGGGTGTGGCAGGCTCTGTGAGCCCACAGCCTGGCCCTGACTATGCTTGGCACTTGTTCCTGCTGTTGCTCCTATTCTCATCCCTGCCCCTCCTGCCCTGCTCCTTTCTTCTGGCGGTCCCATTGGGGGAGGCTCCAGGCCCCGCAGGCTGAGGCTGGCCTGGTGGTGGCCCTGGTGGGGAGGGCCGGGCCTCAGGAGCCGGGCTGTGGGGAAGGGTCCACGTCTGGCTGGGACTGGGCTGACAGCAGCCCGCAGAGTGGTAGTCAGCGCCCATCTCCTGGCGGTTCTCCACTCACCTGCCGCCAGGCGAGCGCCATCGAGACCGGGGAGGCTCAGGGTGGGGTTCAGGAGATCCAAGGGGCCTGGTCTGGCACCCCCGGCTGCCTGCCCGGCCACTAATGACAGTGGGCTGGAGCCCCGTGGCCCGGCCGCCCACGTAGGCGGCGGTTACAGCTCCCGGGTCTGCGGCGGAGCTGCGGCCTGCCCGGGCAGTGCTCGCGGCCGACGGCACGCCAGGGTGGCCTGGGGGCGGGCCGCCTGGGTTGGCAAGTCGGCACCACGCCCCACAGGGCACCGTTAAAGCCAAGTGTGTGGTGAAGGTGGCCCCGTGTGGCGCCCGAGGGGCAGCGGCCGAGCTCTGGTCCTGCAGCCCTCTCCTCCATCCCGAGATCCCGGCGGCTGGAACAGGTGTCCGCCCGGGGGAAACTGAATCCCGCTGCCAACAGCTCTGCTTCCAGGTCACCGCCCGGCCGCCTCGTGACCGGCTTGGAGCTGGCACCACCGCGGAAAGAGGCTTTCCTCTCTGGCAGTGTCTCCATTTATAGGGGAGGCCACAGGCCCCAGAGAGGGCAAGCGCTGGCCCTGGGTCACACAGGGAGTCAGGGCAGCCGGTCAAGCCCTGACGATGAGGTTCCCGGCATTGGGAGCGTGGCTGTCTCCCCTGCTGGCCAGCTCCACCAGGAAGCCTTCCTGACCACCTGATCCTCCATCTCTGCCCTCTGCAATCCCTGCTGTGCTGGCTTATTCTGCTCGGAAGCTTTCCTCCTGCTGGTCCCCATTCCAGCAGTGGGCACTCGGGAGCACTAGGGGGAGGGACTGATAACTTGGGGAGCTGCCCGAAGGCAGAAGGTGCTGCCACGGAGTAATGAGTTCCCTGTCATCTGAGGTGTGCAAGCTGGGGGATTAGATTGTGTAGGTGACCTTTGAGGTTCCTCTGGACCTCAGGGGCTGTGATCCCGTGATGGGTCCTGGACATTTCCCAGGTCTGGACCTCTGCCCAGAACGTTGGGTCATTTGTTCCTTCCACAAACAAGTGGGGAGCCCTCCTGGTGCCAGGCCCCGTGTGGGAGGCAGGGTGGGATTGACAACCTCTGAGTCCCTCCTTCGGGACATGCCTTCCCTAGGGCTCGGAGGGGCCTGTGGCTGAAGGGAGAGGGGCTAGGACAGGGCCGGGGGAAGGGAGGCAGCAGTGCTTGATCAGTGAGGGAGGCTGGACCCTGGCGCTGCCCAGGGCTCTGGGAAGGTTTCCTGGGGATCAGTGTGGGCTTGGCCTGCTCAGGTCTCCTCTCCCGGCCCCCCTAGCACTGGGGGACTTGGGCTCGCTCTGGGAGGATTCCAGGAACAGCTCCTGCCCTGTTAAAAATAGACTTCTCCGAAGGGCTTGGGGCTGTGCCAGCTGCAGCAGGTGCCCCCCAGGCCTGGCCAGAGTGGGTGCCCCAGGCAAGGGGGAGAGGGATGCTGGGGCCCAGGTTTGCAGCCCGAGCAGCCGGGTGGGCCCTGTGTCCCGGGTTAGTATCGCTGAGCTTGACGGGAACTTGCACCTTGTCCGGATGAGGAAACGGGCTGGGATGATGGAGGCAGCTTGCCCCAGAGGTCTTCTCTCCTGGAGGGCCAGGCTGGGATGAGCAGGGTCTCTGGGGGTCAGCAAAACTCAGCCCCAGCTCTGGTTCTTCTGCTTCCTGGCTGTGTGACTTGGGTAAGTTGCTCGATCTCTCGGAGCTGCTGTGTTTTATCAATACAATGTGGCCGAGGTGTCTTGTTCGTGGGCTGCAGCGTCTGGCACAGTGTCCGAGGGCACAGACTCTCAGAAAGCGGTTAAGGTAGGAGATTGGTGGAGCGCCGAGTGCCCGGAGCCGGCCTTCAGGAAGATGCTGCTGGAAGCAGGAAGTAAGAGCACTGGAGTGGGAGTCCTGGCCCGAGGCCCACCTTGGTGCTGGGTGGAGGCACGAGGGCAGGAGCCCTGCGGCTCCACCTGGCTTGGCTGGGGTGTGCCTGTGGGTGGGGCTTCTGCAGGCCCTTCCACCTGTACAGTCTTCCTGTTCTCACTTCCCCCGCCTGCTCGCCCAGCTTGGGGATGGGAGGAAGCCAGGGTCACAGGCATGGCTGACGCTCCCTGGGGGTGTGTGGGGAGAGCCTGGGAGGGGGCCTTGTTCTGGGCTGGGCCTCTGGCCAGCTTCCCCCCCCCCCCCCGCCCGCCCTTGTGGCGCTGACCGCTGATTGCAGGGGCCAGGCTGGCTGTCTGGGAGCTGGGCTCAGAGCTGGGTTCCCAGCAAGGCAAGGCCTCTGGGGACCCTGTGTGCTGGGGGCTCTACCCACCCTGCTCCACCCCCTTCCGAGGGCCTCCAGGCTGGCCAGGGCAGGTGCTGGGTTGACCGTGATGCCAGGTCCACTCTTGGAGCTCATAGCGGGGGAGCACTTGCATTCCTGACGTCATGCTCCCAGGAGGCAAAGCCAGGACCCTGCTGGTAGGGGCAGGCGGGGACCCTGGGGAGGGTTTCCCCGGGGAGTGGGCACCTGCATTGAGAGTTGGAGGGTGAGTGGGATGTGGCGACAGCTCCCTGGGTACATCCTGCCTTCCTGTGTGACCCGGTGTGGGCTCCTAGTCCCTGTGCCTCACCTGCACACTGGGTGGGGGTGACAGACCCCTCCCCTCAGGGGTGTGGTGAGGATTCAGTGAGGGACAGCAGTGACTGGCACATAGTAGGCAATCAGGAAGTGGAGGGGTCCTCAGGTGGGAGGTGGGAGAGCTGGGCAGGGTTCTTGACAGGCGGACTGGGGATGGGGAGCCCCCATCCTGTGGGTGTCAGCCTCCTTAACACACCTGAGCCAGGGCACCCTCCTTCCATTTTCAAAGTGGGGAGCCCTCCCTCCAGGCCTTTGCCTGTGCTGAGGTCCCCACCAGGCACACGGCCCTGCGCTAAGCTCCTCCTGGCGCTCCAGCACGGAGCCCTGTGCAGCCCCCTCTGCTGTGGGAGCCCTATTGCGAGACGGGGCTGTGGGGAGCCCCAAAGGGTTCTAGGGCCAGCGCGCATACGGCGCGGGGCGCGCGCTCCACCCAGCACAGTGGGAGGAGGGCGGGTGCGTCGGCGGCAGGGGCCCCGCCCCGCGGTGGCCAGCGGCCCTCCCCTCTGCCCTTGCATTTCCCTTTCCTCCGCGGCGCTTCCTCTCCGCTCGGCCCTCCGCGGCCTCTTTGTTTGCCCGGCGCGCGGGCGGGCCCACGGTTATATTTAGGCGGCAGGTGTGGGAGCCACAACAAGCCTGGTCGCCCGCCGGTCACCGGCCACCCCGCCCACGTGATGCCTGGGCGCTATAAATAGCCCCCACGGCGCGGGTCCGCCGAGCATCCGCTTGGAGGCCGGTGCGCCCCGCGCTCTGGGTCTCGGCCGCCGCGCCCGGCCCGGCCCGCACGGATGGAGGCGGCGGCGGGACGCCTGCGCGCGCGGGTGAGCCTGGACGGCGGCGGGGCCGGGGGGCGTGCCGGGAGGACCCCAGCCCTGCTCCGGGGAGGGGGCCACCTCTCGAACCAGCCCCCACGCGGCCCGGAGCGCAGGCACCACGGGGCATGGTGGGCCCCGCCCACGACCCCGCCCTGCCCACGATGGTCCCACGCCCCTGCCTTACCTCTCCTGGGACCCCACTGAGTCCTAGTCCTTCAGCCTACCCCCATATCATACAGGGTCCGGGGTCCAGAGGGGCTGGCCCTTTCTGAAGCCCTCTGGATTCGGCCAGCTCCTTAGCCAGCTGTGACCAGGCGTGAGGGCGGTAGCCTCCCGGAACCTCGGTTTCCTCTTCCGTAAACTGGGGTTGAGTGTTGTTCTTGCCTCCTAGTCTTGAGATTGAAAAGCCACCGGCAGCCGTTGCTGGACGCTGGTCTGGTCAGGGCCCAGAGGAGGTCCTCCACCTCCCCGGCTGGGTCACTTATTTGCCAACAGGGACGACACTGGGGCCTCCCCTAACGGGCCTCTAAGGGATGGCTGTTTGGGACATGGCAGAGAGCTCAGTGCCCTCCGGTGGGAGGAGGCGGGCTGGAGTCCCAGGACGGGGATGTGGGGCCAGTGGAAGAAGGCCAGAGAGAGGGAGGGGTATTGAGTCTGGCTCCTGCATAGTGGGTGGTGGGCTTGGGGGATGGTGGCTGGGTGGGCCCTGCCTGGGGCTCAGTGACCTGACTGAGGGATGTAGTTAGGAGGGAGGGTCCCTCCGTGGGGGGCACTGGGCCTGGTTGAGCCATGTGAGGGTGCGGGAGGGGGGGCAGGAAGGGTGGGGCATCACTGCTTTGCTCCCACGCAGGGTGGGGGCCCCAGCCTCTTTGGAGACTAGTGGGGTGTGTGGCAAGACCCCAGCCTAGTCCAGGCAGTGGCCTTAGTCCAACCTCGGCCCAGATCCCTGACCCCATTCTAGCCTGGGCCCTGCCCCCTGACCTCAGCCAGCCTGACCCCTGCTGACAGGTGACAACTTCTGGCTCAAGAAGGCATAGTGTGGAGTGGCTCTGGAGGATCTGTCCAGGGAGACTGGGCCGCAGAGCCAGGCCTTCTGCTGTTGCCTCGGGGTCTCCCCAGGTGCCCAGCAGCTGTGGGCAGTGAGGTGGCGGGCCAGCCCCTCAGGGAGAGGCCTGCAGTGCTGCGGCGTCCTCGGGCCTTTTCCGTCCTTTCTTTCTGGTGCACACATGCACACAAACGCACGCACGCACGCGCACGTACAGGGGAATGTCCCGTGGCCCCAGGAGGGACAGTGTTTGCGTTTGCGAGCTGTCTGGGCGCCTGCGGCGGTCTCTTTCCTCACCGGCACTCAGCCGAAGCTGGCTCTGGGGCGGCGCAGGTTCGCAGCTGGCTCAACCGGGACAGGATTCCTTCTCTCTGCTTTTTTCCTCCCCCCCGAGTACACCCCGTGTAGCCCTCCCAGGACACGGCAAGGGGCAGGGTGTGACGTGGCACCTGCCTTGAGCCTGGGAGCAGCGGTGGAGCTGGCCCCTGCATGTCAGGGTCCCGGGCCCTGGGCCCTTCCTTGCCCAGGCTGAGGCTCTGGGGGCCTGCAGAAGGGGGTGCTGGGCGGGGGCGAAGGTAAGAGGCGGGGGCTTCGGGTGGAGGACTCTACGGAGGAGCAGCTGGTAGTGCGGGGGGTCTTGGGCCAAGCCCAGTGGCTGGAGGGGTCTGTGGACCACTGGGTCACAGGCTGGAGAAACCTTGGGGCACTTCGTTGGGCCCCCATGGTGCAGATGGGGAAACCATGGCCGGTGCCGTGCCCAGGGTCTCCCAGCTCCGTGGGGGTAGGAGTGGTGCTGCGCTCCTGCTGGGGGGGGGGGGCGGCGGCCTGGGACCTTTGGGGCCCAGAGTGGGGGAAAAGGCGTGGAGGTGCTTGATGGCTGTGTCTGTGGCCCGGGGGTGACCCTCCCTGGGGCCCTGTCACAGTGTGACCCCACTCCGTGCCACCTGTGCTGTCACCACCTTGGCATGCGCCTGGCGGCCGGCCCTTTGGCTGCTGTGGTCTGTCCTTGCTTCTCCGGGCTCCTGAGGGCAGAGCCCGGCTTGTTGACCTCCGTGGCCAGTCAGCCTTGTGGGGAATGGTGGAGACAGTGGCCAACGGGCAGAGGCCCATCCGAGCTGGAGATTTCCGTGGGGGGCCCTTGAGAGACGCTTAAGGTGGTTCGTGCTGTGAGTGGGGCCGCCTCCCCCTCACCCACTGCGGTGCGGCACCTTGGCCTCCGTGCCTGAGCCCCTTCCCCTGAGGGCGGGCCGCCCCAGAACGATCTGTGCTCAGAAATTCCGCAGGGGAGGGTGGCTGTCTCCGGGGTGGGGGTGGGGTGTCTGCTGCTAGCAGGCCTCAGAGGGGGCCAGGCTCAGGGGCCTGGGCCCTGTCACCCCAGACTGCCTCAGAATCTGTGTGGCGGGTTCAGCATGCTCCAGGGTTGTATGTCCCTGAAAAACCTCCCTCCCTGTCCCTCTCCACCCCGTCCTGGTGGCTGTCCTGTCACCTCAGGGCCCTGGGTTGGCCCTGGCGGGAGCTGTACTTCCCTGTGTTCCCAGGTGGGGACGCTGAGGCCCGAGGAGGTTCAGTCACTCGGCGTGGTCCCGCGGGAGGGCCGGGAGAAGCGTGGACCGTGCTGGTGGGGGTCGGGCAGGCTCCCAGGAGGCGGGGCTCCCGGTGACCCCTTCTCTGCTCTTTTCCTTGTCCCCACAGACCTTGCCTGCTGCAGACCAGCCTGGGATTTATGGAGAGGGCCTCGGGGGGCAGCTCTGAGTACTGCCACGCCCAACATCGCTGCCGCCGCCGCGCCTGCTGCTGAGGAGGCCCCCGGGCCACCGGGCCTCACCATTGCCCTTGCCCGCGCATGGCCCCCGCTGCCCGGCCCGGGGCCGCCTGAGCCGCCCGCCCCGCTGCAGGACTCGGTGGGCCCCGATGGGGTAACGTGACCGCGCCCGCGTCAGCTCCGTGCGAGTCCGCTCTGCCTTTCAGCCTTGGGGGTGCGGGGCCGCCTTTGAGCCCCGGGGGCCGTCCGCCCATCCACCGATGCCGAGAGGACGTCCCCAGCCACAGGCTCGGCCACGGCCACGGCCACGGCGCCCGGACACGCTTCGGGCTTTTTACAGTTTTCTTTGCTGAGGTTTTCGGGTGTCGTTTTTATTTTTGCCCCCTTGTAATTACCCGGCTCTGGGGGCAGGAGCTCGGACTGACCTGTTTTACTTCTGGGGGCTTTTTCGTTCCTTTTCTTTTTTAAGGAGTTGGGTTTCTTTTTTAATTCTCCACGTGCCGGGCCGGGCGGCGTCCTCCCCCGTCCCGAGTATTTGCACAATATTTGTGCGCGGCGCAGGGGGCAGGTTTTGTAAAAGTCGTTTCCTCTCTCGCGGACAAGCACAGGGATCTCATTCTTCTCGGGTTCTGGGGGGCTTGTCCGTGTCCCCTCCCCCGTCTGCAGCCCCTCCCTGGCCCCCCCCCTCTGGAGGAGCCATGGCTCGCATGAACCGGCCGGCCCCCGTGGAGGTGAGCTACAAGAACATGCGCTTCCTTATCACGCACAACCCCACCAACGCCACTCTCAGCACCTTCATCGAGGTGAGTGGGGCTGGGCGGGGGTCCAGCAAGCCTGGCCGTGCTGCCCCGGGCCTCCCGGGAGGCGTTGAGAGGCCAGAGCCGGCGGGAGCGGAGGGGTTATGGCTGTCAACCCACGTGCTGCGCTTGGGGCCCTGGTTGGAGGATTCCGGAGGTGTGACACAAGACACTGGCATGCCGTGGGGAGCCCGGGTGTCAGGGCTGTTGGGGGATCCGCTGGGCTCGCTGGGGGCCTGCAGGGTGGGCAGGTGGGACCCCAGCTGCGCGAATAGAGGCAGGTTCAGAGGTAGGAGAGATGTGCATCGCCCCCTCAGGGCATCGCCCATGACCGGAGTGGTCCTGAGCCCTCTGCTGGCCCTGCGGCCTCTGTGCAGAGGCTGAGCAGGAAGGAGGCGGAGAGGCCCCCGTGGGAGGAGTGGCTCTTGAACAGCCTGGAGACAGGCACACGGGGGGGATGGGGCACGAAGGCCAGCTGCGGGGCCAGCCCAGGATGCAGGTAGCCCATGGGCTCTGGGGGAGGCCTGGGGGCTTCAGGCGCAGATGTCTGTGGGAGGAAGGGCTGGGCACGAGTCTTGAGCTGGCCACGGGAGAGTGCCCCCTGTTCCTGGAGGGTCAGCAGGCAGAGACGTGTGCTGCTCCTGGCTCCAGCAGATGTGAACAGATGTGTTTGCAGAGCCCGCAGGGCTCCACATGGCCTCCTGTGGGAGCCTGGCCTCTGCAGACTCCTTGTTGTTTGCAGAGCCTGTGGCTGTGTGGTAGGTCCTTTGTGGCCTCAGACCCTTAGCCTTTCTCGCTGCAACATGATATAAGCCCTCATGGGTGCTTGTCACAGTTAAACATGGATCTGGGCATGAGGGGACCTTGACAACTGTATAGAGGGAGGCAGTGGGCAGTCTGCCATCAGGGGACCTGGACCCTGGACACTGAGCCGGGAACCCTACAGAGGAGGGCTGCCCCCTCATAGCTGAGACCCTGAAGATAATGGCAGGACCTGGGGAAAGACTGAGCACAGCACAGCCTGTGATCAGGGTCAGGGCTCAGAGTGTGACGGGGGTCAGGGCACAGAGTGTGACAGGGGTCAGGGCTCAGAGTGTGACCGAGGTCAGGGCTCAGAGTGTGACTGGGGTCAGGGCTCAGTGTATGACCAGGGTCAGGGCTCAGAGTGTGACCAGGGTCAGGGCTCAGAGCGTGTGTGGGCTCAGGGCTCAGTGTGTGACTAGGGTTAAGGGTCAGTCTGTGTGAGGGTCAGGGGTCAGTGTGTGACCAGGGTCAGGGCTCAGCATGTGTGGGCTCAGGGCTCAGCCCTGGGCTGGGTGGCCACACCCTCTGCTGCAGGCGCAGACCTCACAACCCCCACGACCCCAGAGCCCTGCACCCCCTCCTGCTCCCTGCATTCTCAGAATAGCTCTGTCCTGCCCTCACTGTGTCCGATGTCCCCGTTGCATGACGAGTGAGGTCCGGCAGCTGATTCCTCACCACTCCCGAAATAGCTGCTGGGAGCAGGTGGGGTGGGAGCAGCCCCTGCACGTGGCCTCCTGGGGTGGACCCCCTCCCCCCGGGTATTACTATCCCTGTGCCTGGCCATGAACTGCCTTGACCTTTTCCCTGGTAGCCTGGGGCTTCCGCACTGTGTGCAGGGCTCGACTCCCTCCCAGCCGCTGTCTGAGCAGCTGCCCGCCCTCCCCGCTCTGAGGGCCACTGCCGCTGAGGCCTGCCCCTCGGAGCCTCCGAAGGCCCCAGTGAGGGGTCTGGCCGTGCCCCTTGCCTGGACCTTTCGTGTACCCCGGCTGGGAGGGCTGCTCAGAGCAGGGGTCGTGCAGGGGTCCATGTGTGGGCTGGCGGTGTTCTGTCGCTGCTTGGGGGCCCAGGAACTTTATCTGGAAGGTGGGGCCTTGCTGGTGTGATCCGGGGTCCTGAGCACCCAAGAGGAGGGAGGTGATGTGCTGGGAAGCCGGGCTCACAGCCTCGATTGCAGTGAGAGTAGGTGGGGACGCTCTCCTCTCTGCTGTGGGGGCCAGGGGACAGTTGCCCAGAAGCATCAGGAAAGCCTCTTCCACCCCCGGCCGGTCAGGGAGCCCGAAGGTCCAGCACTGGGGGCTCACGCTCAGCATCAGCCTTTCTGTTTTGTTGAGGGGGGCACGGCCCTGCCCTGGGGGCCCGGTCAGGAGATCGCCACCCCTGAGCCCTGCCCTCTCCCTTCCCCCCCGCCAGGACCTGAAGAAGTACGGGGCCACCACTGTGGTGCGCGTGTGTGAGGTGACCTACGACAAGGCCCCCCTGGAGAAGGATGGCATCACCGTCGTGGTGAGGGCCGCGTGGCGCCGAGCGGGGGCCTCTCTGGGCCTGGGCAGTGAGTCTGGGCCCCCTCGCTGTGAAGCAGGCACACGTGGCCTCGCTGCGTGCCACCTGCCACTTCCCGGGCATGTTTGTGCCCGGGCCATGTGCGTGTTTGGGCACATCTCCGGGAAACCCGGGCGTCGGGTCATGTGACCTCGAAGGAGTCAGGTCCTCTCTGCACGGCCTTTTTGCACTTCTAGAGCGGGCGTGCTTGTCCCTGGCCAGCCTGGCCCGGGAGGCAGGAGCACACTCCGCACGGCCACAGCCCCCGCTGGTGCAGCCGGTCCTCCCCCGTGCTGGGGTTGGCAGGCTCTGCCGCGCGCAACGGCTTCTCAGCCTCGTGAGAGCCCCGCGTTGTGGGGAGACTGAGGCTTGGGTCAGACGCTGTCTGAGGCCACACCAGACTGTGACAGAGGTGGGACCGCCTGGGGAGTGGCACTTTAGCAACAACGCCCACTCCAGGTGTGCCCCACCCCCCCATGAGCTGCACTGTCCTCTGGGTATGCTTCCCCTCCAGGTGCATCCACCTCCAGGTGCGCTTCCCCCCAGGTGTGCCCCCCCAGGTGTGATCCCCTCCAGTTGTGCTCCCCCTCGGGGACTGGGGCTCTGGTCCCACGCCCTGCCTGGCCGGGAAAGTAGCTCCACTTTGCAGACAGCCCGAGCTCAGAGGCCACCCAAGGTCCCCGAGTGAGTGCGCAGAGCCGGCCCCCGGCGGCTCCTCCCAGCTCCTCTGCGTCTGGGCCTGTCTCAGGACCTCATCTTGCTGCCTGTTTGGGGCCCTGTCGCTGGGCAGCAGGTGCCACTGGAGGGTGGGTGGGCACACCTGTCAGGTCCCTGGGGAGGCTCTCTGTGCAGGCGGTGGGGAGGGACCCTTGGGGCTGTTTCCTTGGTCCCCTGGCTCTGGGGACCTGCATCCGGGCGGAGGGCGGGGCAGCTGTGCTGCCACATCCCTGTTGGTCAGGTGCGGGTTTCACGGGGCCTGCCCTGGCGTGGGGCTGCCTGACTGGGGCTGGAGGCCCAGAGCAGGGGGCGCAGCCCTGTGTCCAGTACACCCCACCAGCTCTGCTGGGCCTCCTCAGCACCAGAGGACCTTTAGTTATCACTCTTCATGCAAGGACACCGTTTTGGCCCATGTTACTGTGTGTAGTCACCTCTGTTGGGCAGTTCCGGGTGGCGGAAGGAGCCGGAGCTGGGGTCATACGGGCCTGGCCTGAAGGCTGCCTCTGCCCCTTCCCTGCTGTGTGACACCCGGTTCCTTGCCTGTGAAGTGTGGGGGCTTGAGAGGCCGCGAGGTGACCGCGTGTGAAGCACCTCTTAGCACGGGGAGCAGCGGCCTTTCCTTCCCGTCCGCTGCAGCAGGAAGGGTTTGCTCAGACTTAGGGCGGCCAGGCAGACCGCTGCCCCCAGGTGTGGCTGTGTCTGGAGGCTGGGGTGGGATTAGCTGACCCGGGGCCGCCTCCCCGTCAGCCTCGGGGGCCCGTGTGGAGTCACCCCGGTGCCAACAGCGCTAGTTGCGGGGCCATTGCCCTCTGCCTGCACGAATCCCTGGGACTTGAGAGTCTCTGTCCTCACTGTGGCCACCCCGGGCTGGGCCCGACCCGCGCAGGTCGCCTCCCCTCGTGCAGGGCGCTGGCGGGGGGTGGGGGGCAGAGCTACGTTCTCACAGCCAAGTTAACCCCGGGGGCGTCTGCAAAGGCCGCAGGTGTAACTGACCGTTGGACCTGGCTCTCAGAATATCGGGCCTCACCCTCCAGCCTCCCTTCACGCCTTCCCCGTAACTGGGCCGGGCCTGCCCTGTGCAGCCGTGCTGTGGGCTGGGGACACGGAGAGGCACGGGTCAGCCGCGTTTGTGGACCAGACCCCTTGGGCCTGCTGAATCAGAACCTCTCAGGCTGGGGGAGGGTCAGGCTGTGACCCCAGAATCACAGCACAGGCTGTCGGGGAGGGGGAGTGGGCTCCCGGGGCTCCCAAAAGGAAAGGGCAGAGTTCCCAGAAGGCTTCCTGGAGGAGGGGCAGCTGCAGTTCATGGCCAAGCCAGCCCCTCCTCATGCTCTCTGCTCTCTGTGGCCTGCTGCCTCTCACCCTCGTGGCTCCCAGCATCCTCTGCTTCTCAGAGTGCCCTGACCTCGTGGGGCCCGCGGCCTGCCCGGCCCCGCTCTCCACCCCACCTTTGGGCAGGGGTCCTCAGGGGCTGCTTCCCTCGGCAGGACTGGCCGTTCGATGACGGGGCGCCCCCTCCCGGCAAAGTGGTGGAGGACTGGCTGAGCCTGCTGAAGGCCAAGTTCTGCGATGACCCTGGCAGCTGCGTGGCTGTGCACTGCGTGGCTGGCCTGGGACGGTGAGTGGGCGGGGCAGGGCGGGGCTCGCTTGAACTCGGGGATCTTGTGGTCTGACTTGCTCTCGGGCATGGGTCTGAGCCCATATCACACATGATCTCCTTCCCAGAGGGTTCCCAGACATGGGCCTCCCACAGCCTGGAAGGGAGGAAGTCCTTCCTGAAGTCTGACCCCACTCCCTCCTGCTGTGGGTGCCACTTTGTCCCTGCACTTGGGCAAGAAGGAGCTGCCAGCACCCCCACCCCCAGACACAGAGACCCCTGTCCCCCACAAACAGCCTGGGTTTGATTGAAAGGACCCAGGCAGTGGAATCCCCGATTTGCCGACTGAGGACCGGGCAAGTGGGGTTGATAGAGTATCAGGCTCTTACCCTAGGCCAGACCCAAGCCTGGTGCTGTGCTCTTCCTCCTTTAACCCCCTCACCAAGACATTTTACACGCAGAGTCTGAAGCACAGAGAGGTTGTGTGGCCCACCTGAGGTCACACAGCAGGGACAGGAGGGAGCAGGATTTGGACCCAGGTGGTCGGGCTGAGCTCTGAGCCAGTGCCCTCCAAGCGGGGTTGGGGGGTGTCTGGGCCGCCCTCAGCCGTGAGGGTGAGGGCTGCCTGGCGTCTGCAGCAGGTGGCCTGTCAGGGGAGGGAGGTGGGCAGGCAGATGCTTGGCTGACTCGGCCCTGCTGTCTGTCCCCAGGGCTCCGGTCCTTGTGGCACTGGCCCTCATAGAGAGTGGGATGAAGTACGAAGACGCCATCCAGTTCATCCGACAGTGAGTGGCCGGCCGGTGGGGGAGGACAGTTGGTGAGGGCTTGGGGGTCCAGGTTTAGGGGGCCCTTACCCTGCGCTGCCCACCCTGCAGGGGCCCAGTGCCCTGCCAGCGGGCACTCCTGACCCCTGGCCCTGGGGTGTCCTCTGAGGAGTTCCTCACTCCCCTGCAGCCTCACGTTGTGGGATCAGCACACCCTCCAGGCCGTGAGGGCCCCACAGCCAGGCCGCCCAGCCCCGAGTGAGGACTGGTCCCTGCATGTGGCTTGTTCGTGGGGTGCTGGGCGGGGTGAGTGAGGAGAGGCTACAGTGAAGGCCCAGCCGGTCCCATCTCCGTGACTCAGCCCAGAGTGCATCAGTCAGGCCAGGCTGAGTAACGAGCAAGCCTAGCACCGTCTCTGACAGAAGAGAGTTGGGCAAGCAACAACTCTTTAGGCCCCGAGATCCTGATGTGGCGATGTCACTCCCCCACCTTCCAGAAGAGGAAGGACCCCCCCAGAAGCCATCCAATCTAGCCCCTCGGGGAAAAACAGGAACCTGCAAACCTCCCATGGCACTGTGCCACCCTGCCTCAGCACCCCTGGGGCCGGGTGGCACACAGGGTCCTTCAGAGCTGCCCTTGTGATGCCCCCCCCACGGTCCTGGCCCACCCCCAAGGCCTCAGTCAACCTCTCTCAGGCACCCCTCCTTGGCCCCCACAGAGGTTTTCTGGCCCACTCTCTTCTTGTGGCTTGGTGGCCTCCCTGGGGAGGGCATCCCACCTGCTCACTGCTCCCGGGAGAGGAGCCCGGCTGGTGCAGGGACGGCAGGGGCCGACTGCAGAGGAACTGGTGCTCAGCTGGGCCCGAGCCTGGCCCCCAGCCCAGCTCACCGTGTGTGTGAGACATGTGCACACACACACACACACGCACTGTAGAGGGCGTGTTCTCCCCTGCTCCCCTGACGGCGGCTCCCCGGGCACAGCCGTGATTTTCTCCTCGGGGCAGGCTTGTTTACCAGCCGAGCCAGCCCGCCCTGTGTGCACGGGTGAGCGTCTGCCTGCAGGAGCTCAGGCCTCCGTAGGGGAGCCCGGCCCGTATACGCACCCGTGTGCACCGTTTCTCTCTGCGAGCTCACGTGTGGCTCTGTGCCTTGGCGTGGGTCCGAGGAGCGGTGCCCCGGGGCGGGGGCTGGGCATCACCATGGGCTCTCCTCACCCCGCCCCTTGCTGAGCCCGGGCTGGGCCCACCTCCGTGGCCTGTGGCTCCCTCAGCCCAGGGCGCAAGTCAGGACGGGCCGGGCGTGCTGAGTAACGAGCAGGCCCAGACTCTGTGCCCACGGAGACCGCCCCAGGCTGCTTCCTCCCTCGCGTGACCTGACGTGGTCAGTTGGGCTCTGCGCAGGGCCCTGGGGCACCGTCAGCGGGGAGCCCCATCTCCAGCATTGCGTCGCCGGGCCTGAGGGAACGGGCGGTGGCGGAGCGGCACGACGGCTCCGGGGGCTTGGCCTGGCGGACGCATGTGCCTCTCCCACTCACGTTTCATTGTCCAGAGCGAGTCCGTGGCCACGCCTGAGGTCACGGGCAGGTGGGGAGGGATGGCCTCTGGAAGTGCTTGGTGTGCAGCCCCAGGCGCCCCCACACCCATCACCGAGGTCCTCCCCTTCTCTCTCCCCCTGCCCTCCCTCCCAGGCAGCGGAGACGCCGGGTCCTCCTGCGGCCCTCTGGGAGCCCACTGCTGGGGGTGGGGTGGTAGCTGGGTAGACATGGAGGCCATGGGAGCGTGGGGACCATGGGGGTGGGGGTCAGGGAGTCAGCCTGGAGGAGTGATGGTCAGGTGAGTTGAAGGCCAGCAGGGGTGACTGCAGGTGACCGGGGAAGGGTGATGCTGGCGGCGGGCACAGCCTGGACAAAGGACGGGCTCTGCTGGCCACGAGGACCCGCTTCGGCCCCGTGGACTCTGGGCCTTGAGCCCCCTGGGCAGGGCAGGTGGCCGAGCCCGGGTCCCGCCTGATCCCCACCCCTGTCCTGCCTCCCCAGGAAGCGCCGCGGAGCCATCAATAGCAAACAGCTCACCTACCTGGAGAAATACCGGCCTAAACAGAGACTGCGGTTCAAAGACCCGCACACGCACAAGACCAAATGCTGTGTCATGTAGCTCAGGACCTCAGCCCACAGGGCCACCCGGCCCCGCCCCGCCCAGCGGGGCTCCCGGCCTCGGCCGCCTCCCCCTCGCCTCTTCTCTGGGACACTGCAGCTCGCCCGCACGCCCTTTGCTGTCTCTGTCTCCCCCTGTGTCTGTGCCCGTGTCTGCCGCCTTCCGGATCCATCCTTCCCTTTGTCTCCGTGCCTGGTCTCTCTGTCTCGGTGCCTGAGGCTCTGTCTCTTTATCATCTCTGTGCCCAAGGCTCTGTCTCTGTCTCTCCGTCTCTGTGCGGTGTATGTCTCTCTGTCTCTGTGCCCTATCTCTCTGTCTCTGTGTCCTGTCTCTGTGCCATTTGTCTCTCTCTCTCTCTCT